CGACTGAGTAAATTTTAAGCTAAATTAGTCACTGAAAAGTCAAGAGGTAAAATTCTATACAGAGTTATTTCACCTAACTATATTGTCATTATAAATGTATTAACCTTTTATGACAAATTATTTCTTATTGTATACTATCCCTTATGATCTATATTTCTCATTTTGTTCTTCAATGGAATGCTACTAATTAAGTATTAAAATTCATCCTAAGAACTATATACTTAAGTAGTATAGATTGTATTCGACAAAAAATTTCCGTTTTATTAAGTTGAATGAAAGAAAATTATTGATCATGAAATTTTATTAAGATTTTAAACATTAGTAATAATCATTGTGATGGCAATCAGTTATAATACTGATGTTGATTTTACCATTAATAAGTAATTTCAAAATTACACTATAAATTAATAAAATCTTAATGACGTGTGCAAGAACAAAGATTTTAGTTGAATAGCATGAATTCACTTTATTTTGTCCAGTCATCGTCAGCTGCTTACAACCTGTAATATTTAAAAGTCATAATTACGAAATAGGTTTAAATTACTTATAAGTAACTTGTACCCATTTTGTTATATCACAGGATGTTAGCAACTAACAAAAATCAAACGAAAATTGAATGAATTCATACTATTCTACTAGAAACTTTATTCTTACTTTTTACAAAATGATAAACAAAACTATACGTATAACAAAATCATAGTGATTAACAACTTTTTGGTGAATTACACAAGCCAATAATAAAAACAAAAGAGAAAACATTCATCATATCATCAATGTTTCATAATTCAATGAAAACAATAGTTCATGATGAAGCACAGGATGAGAATAAGAAATACTCAAATGATTTTATAAATGAATGATTAAATAAATAAGTGAATTTATTAAACTTAATTGAACAAGCCAATAAGATCAATAAAAAAAACCTCTATCTATTCTACTATATGCTTTTGCTTTATAATAAACGTTTATACACATAACCGTTTCTTTCTTCTTCTTCTTGTTCCTTTTTTTTTCTAAATTTTATTTTGAAAAAATCAATAACTATAATGCATACAGATATTCATTAAATGTTTAACGGATCAACAAAAATCACTTTGAATGTCGCCGCTAAAATTAAAAAGAAGATTATTATTGTTTTTTCTTTTTAGTATTCAGTTAAAACATCAAATGAACAAGTGTGCACAAAATATTACCTCTATAGATATATATGTGTATAGATGTATATATACATATATATATATGTAGTTGTTAAGGATGTAGATAAGAAAAATCTTGTTTAGTTTAAATGAGACATATAGATTTGTTAATTTTTAAAAGAACAAAAAAAGGAATTGACTGGAGGTTTAAATAATCTCTATAATACATATACATTTATATATATTTATATATTTAAAATAGAAATAAATAAGAATTGTCTACGTGTTGAATTGAATATTTCGACTTTTCTTTTAATAGTTAAAAATCTGAGTCGATATAAACTAGACCACCATTGAAAATGTAGAAGTATTAAACGGTTGTTTTGTCCTAGATTGAGATTCTTCAACAGTGAACATCTTTTTTTATTGAACATTTAAATTTATACTAGAAATTTAATTGCTCAATATTAAGATATGTTAAAATGGTTTGGTTGTTATTTTAACAGTATAAGAATGAAAAACTTATGATATTTGCTAATAATATACTAAAATTATATTAAAACTAGTTATAAACCAGTTTATTTTAAACATATTTTGAAAATCTGTTGTCAATAATAGAAGTGTTGTCTATAAATTTGTCTAACCACTTGTTTCTTAGTGCTTTTCAGTTTTGATAACTTGATATATATTACCATGATAATCATCATTTAAATTCCCTAGTAAATATAATTGCTTACTATTATCATATCGTGAATATTTTGAATGTTGAACATTGGTCTTGATGGAAATCTATTATGAATTGGACTATTCTGACATATTGAAAATCTTGCTGTCAAATTTTCGATATTTAAACTACTTAATGTTTACTTCTTTGTACCGGTAAGTCTATTCTAAATCTTTCAAATGCCTATTTTGTTGTTGAATACTTTAACTTCTGAGATTGACAGAAAACAATCAAAAGCTTACTATAATTAATTTGAAGAAGAACATTATCATCATCGTTATCAGAAAAAAAAGAAGAACAACGCAATGTTTATGATTTATATCATATTATAAAATATAAATAAAGGTCATAAATACTGGAACTGCATGATGTAAATGGACAAAAGAACGAAGCAGACAGTATATATATATATAGGGTGACAGCGAGAAAGAGTGTAACGGTTTTATAGATAATCAGGCATGCAAATTGCGCAATAAATTGATCAAAATGTAAACTAGTAATTATGATAATAGTAATAATACACTAACTTAACAAAACATTTTGTTTTCTAGAAAAAAAAACTATTCTATTTGTCTCATATAAAATAAATTTACTTCCTCGAATTTGACCGATTATAATTACCGTAGCAATATATTTGAATCTATAAAGTTAAATAGAGATTTGTCTTACTAATGAATAAATACTTAACATTATTTAATAGTAATACTTAATTATTACGGTAAAATCGTTTACACTATCAAGCTACATTGCATACACACACATATATATGTATGTCTATACATAGCGAGACAAGCACATGAACGAGTATTCTATTCAATGAAAATCCTTCGATATGCTTTAATCTTTCACATATAAGTATATGAAAGTATGTATTTAATTGAACTACAAAAATTAATAAAGAATTTGAAGTTAAAATATTTTATTTACCGGGACTGCATATACATATATTTAAAAGGGTAAAAACACCTAATTATCTCTTTGATCGGGAAGTTAACTAGTCTTTTAAGTGCCTAGAGTCAAATTAAACTAGATAGATGATTATCGTTCCTACAATTTCTTAGTATTTGTATTTGTAGAAGTAATGTATTTCAATTTATGGATGCTCAATTGTAGTGTTGTAAATGTGTACATAGTCAATAATGAAAATCTTACTACTATTATTATTACTATTATTACTAATAATAATTCTTCTCTTTTCAATCAGAAGTGAATAAAATTGATATGACATGTATGAAAAATGTCAGTATGTGAAATGTCGGATAATAGCTGCTCAAACAATCTAATAAATAATAAATTAACAATTAAATAGTGGTACATGTGGAAAACACATGTTTTTATACATTGAATGTATAAATTTAGTCTAGTTATTTTTTTACTAAGATTACAAACCGATTTAAGTTAGTCTTTGGTAGCTAACTGACTTACATGCAAAACGACCGAAACCCTCTGGTCACGACTTTTCACTAGAACACAATGAGAAATGGTTGCTCAATTTCACGAATCAGTAGAAGTTAAATATGTTAATTACTCGATCATGATTCAGTGGTTCAAAGTCCAAACTCTTATCTGAAGAGCTGAAGCTTGTGGTCTCGGTCGCCATTACGACTATGGATCTGCACTGCTGAGCATCCTTATACTTGGACTAAACAACTATCCCGTGTTTCCTGGTTGTCAAACGTAAGTCACTTCGTGATCTCTACATACCACCTTAAACTAAATTTTTGTGTTTATAAAAAAATTAAAAATGATTTTATGTATCCAAGTCAAACTACATACTTTAATGAAATAAGTGAAATCGACAATGTGTAAAGATAATGAGTACCTTGTGCTACATATAATTAAGCTTACATCGACTAAATTTACAAATGATAATCTGAGAGGCTATGAACCTTGAAGGTGAATACATTTGTTACAGTCTTAAGTTTAAAGAGATATTCTAAATAGTCTGGACGCTAACTTTATAAAATATACCCGCCTTTATTTTACTTTTTATTTAATAATAAAGGGCAATTGTTGATAGTTTTTTTCCAAGAATATTATACTTATTATACAAAACAGGAGTATTTATCATATACTATAATGCATAAGTGATAAATATGAGTTCAATACAAATCTGTAGTTCTATGATATTCGCCTTTAGGTAAATAAACTGATGGATGTAACAACTATGTTAAAGTAAATGTGTTTTTAAGGCAAAACGTATTATTATTATTAGTCAGATGCATAATATCATTTTACATTTTATGTTTTGTTAATCATATTCTAATCATCTTGTTGGATTTTATTTCCAAGAACAAATATCAATAAACTAGTTCTATGTATTACTATTGTTATTACAGTACAATTAAATACTCAACATCGTTATAGGGTAATAGATGGTTCTTCGTTAAAATCAATTAGTATGAATAGTTAACAATAGATTTATTGCGTTTACTATTCAAGAAGTATTGTAACTTGTTATTTTAATAATCGAATATGCTTAGACAATATATGAAGTTTAATGATTGGTTGTCTTAACTGATTTTTATTATTTTTCAATATAAGTGTTTTAATTGTGTTGTCTGTTATATGAACATCATATGAGTAATATATCTCTTTAAGTCCTATTCTTATTATTGTTGTCATGAATGACATTAGAATCCAAAACTCTACATTGAATGTTATGTGAACTGAGTTTAATAAGTAACACCTTAAAATAAAAAAGTAAATCATTTGGTTTTTAAACCATAACAGACAGCTTTATCATTCTTTTTCTTGTTATGTATCATACTCAAGTTGTTTACTCCATCTCTAACGAGTCAGATTTATTTATATCATTTGATGGTAGTGTGTAATAATTAGCATTACTACACATTCAGAACAAAGTAATAGTAAATTAGGATAAGCGGAGTCACATTGTGTGTATTTAGTATAGTTGAAATGCAAGTTTTATTTAGGCTTGATATAATTGGTGGAATTTAATAAATGGCTCATTTATATTATGTAACAACTGTGATACAACAATCTGTTTATTAATTTTTAAAATTAGCCAGTTTAAAAATAAACATATGTTGATTATTGGTTTTAATGGGGTCATGTAAATATACCTAGTAAAGTAATAATCAACCAAATCTAGTCAAATGTATACAAACACTACTTACAGTTTGTATTTCCACAACACCTCCAGTTCCTTCGATACTGCTCACTGTCGTAGTTACTGTTTCATTGTTTTCATTGCTACTGATGGTATAATTACTGTTATTCATTTGAGCGATTGTATCGACAGTTGGATAGGTTTTTCCTTCCAGGGTTTCACTTTGGAATATGAGTGGTACAGCAATCACTGAATTCCACACAATAGTAAGACATAAAAATTCTATGAATACCTTGAAATTATACATATATGCCATTGTACTTTTGGTGTGTGCATCAAATGAATGAACAGACTGATAAGTTTGATACATGATATGAGAAGTATGAGATGGGTGTATCTAGTAGTTAGTCCAGTTCCAAGTAGAAATTACAAATCAAATTAATGAGTAAGTAGTTCCAAATGATTGTGTTAATGTTTTTTTCTGCTCATCAAACGTCTAGTGAAATTAACATATAGGGCTTTTTCTGTTTTTAAAATAGTAAACATTTCCTTTAAATATCAGCTGTTATTAAAAAATTGGTGTCTTATTTCAAACTAACCAATTAGTAATGTCGAGAAATTATGATTGGTTGATAGAATCCATTCATCATTGTATATTCTAGCCAATCAGAATGAGATGGTCTAGTTTAACAAACTTTTTCAATAAAACGTTCCCAAGTTATTTCTGGAACTAATTCATTGAAATTCTTATAATTAATAAAAGGTAACGAAAATTTCGTGATGTAAAATTATGGATATTAGGTATATTTGGAAGTGGTTATTAATGATGAGCAACAAAAGTAAACAAAGGGCTTGAAAACTAAAAAGAAAACTGAAATGTTGATTTAGTTTGTCCGAGGAATTTTCGACACATTTTATCTAATCAAAAGGCGATCCGAAGCTTTCTGAACGTTGATGGTTTTATTATCCACTTTCAGTTTGGAGAATTATGACACGAAAAATCAAAGTTTAAAGTCTGAGTAAACAAAAACAAAAAGTTGGGCAAAACAGCACATCTGATTAGAGTTAGATATGTAAATCACTGAATCCTGGATCAGTGATCTAGACATAGGGTGTTTGAGTGAGAGACAGAAGGTCTTAGTTTTGTTCGTCGGTGGTGTGGTTGTGGATACTCTTCAGCAGTCCTGTACTAGAAAGGAACAGCTACCCAGTGCTCCCAGGTTTTCAGTGAGCCTAGCTAAGACCACTCCGTGGTTTAAACTATGAAAGTTCTACAATCATCATCATCCTTTTCCCCTTTGCTAAAAAATTATTTAGTTAGATTCTCATCAGCTTCCTACAACCTAGAATATTTTAAGATCAGATTTATCATAGAAGTTAGCATACTTGTAGATGGAAGTTGTCTAGAAATGGATATGTATCGTCATAATGAACCAAAAATTTCAGTAAAGTGAATATGACAGAAAATTTTGAAGTTAGGATATTTCGAGAAATATAACCTAGAGTATTACATCATCCACTGCTCCTTGGTTTTTGTTAACTATTTCAACTTTGGTTGAATATGATCACAATAAAAATTCTATTAATATAACTCAATAATGAGTAATATACATTAACGTTTTTTTATAGTTTTCCTGTAATCAGTCATTTGAATTCCTAGATATGAACGATTACTAAAAGAGATTTCACTTAACTGCATATTTTGCATCGTGAACTTCATTACTTGCTTATCGGATAGAATTTACTGGACGGCAACCATTCATTATTTCTGCATGTTGTTTAATCCAAAGACCTTCAGTTGGCATTCATTTGACTGGCCAGGATATAGTCTACGCATTTTCAGTACCGTTCGACGAAGATTGATCGTACTGTTTCCTAAATTGAGGTTATAGAGTTTTAAATCCCAATTATTTTCTGAAGTCATATAATTCTTCAGTTAAGTATATGAAGTACTCGTAAGAGAGAAACTCATCTATAGAATGTAATTTTATCAAAATCGATTCAAAAGTGGTGTAAATTAAATAATTCAAACAATCTCGGTGTACGGAATATATCGTTTAGGACATCGTATTAAGGCCAAGTTATACTGTGAATCGACCAAAATCGGATATCTGAACAACTAGTATTTTGTTTAAGTTGTCTAAAGGTATTGTACATCCCATTACATTTGATGTTTCCAGGATGTTGTCTGTTTTCAGTTGTCAGTTCATACTGTTGAGGTATCCCTAACCATGACAGAATAGTTATTCACCACTTTATGATTTATGGTGGTTTCTGTTTTCACGTATTTAATTGAAATATATTAGAAAGAACAATCAAACAAAAATCCCCTGTAACAATGAAGATTTATTACATACTTAATCAAAACTATAGAACAGTGAACACTACTCTAATGATTCATTGGAATGAAAATTAACACATCAACAAATAATCAGTTTATCAGTTCTTATGAGGAGATCTAGTCAACTAAATGACCCGAGATCAAATGAACAAAATGATCAAAGGAAATGCAAACAAACATACTAATGGAACCTAAAAGAACAGTTAGTTGTAAACAATATTGTCAGAACAAACTAACTAAGCATATGTGAAATAGTTTTGTGTGGAGTCACAGGGTTGATGATCTTTTACACCAATAATGATTTCTCCACAATAAAATTATTCTTTTCAGAGGACATAATACCACTGAAATTTATTAATATTTCTCACATGAAATCGGATTTAAAAATTCGGAGGTAGTGAAGTTACTAAACGAATGATTTAAAAAGTTGAAGGAGTTAGTAACAAAAGACTACTAGTCATGAGATAAAAGATTGCATGATTAAGTAGATGAATACAGCCCTTTGAAAATCAAGAATTAAATGTTTAACTTATTAAACTTGGTCGTAATAAAACTGTTATACACTGGGAATTAGTAGGATGCATCAGGGATTGGCACTGTCCTTCTTATATATAATCAAGTATAACTATTTCTTATAGTTTAATTCATGGGTAAATTGAAGCCAGACAACCATAAAAAACCCGGAAGCATTAGACGAACGTTTCGTCCTATTGTAAGACTCCTCAGCAGCGCGCACATACGATCCCGCCTCGAGACATTTGGACCTAGGGCCTATCGGTTTTCGCGCTCGAACGCTTAACATCTAAACCACTGAGCCGAGCGGCATTTAATAGTGCTAATGCTTAGCTTTAACCGTCCACCATTGTCTTCAGTGAGTTATTATCTCACAACAGACCTGGTTGAACTCCAGTGAACACGGCTTCTCACTAGAACTCTAGGATATACCCCTTGGAAACCGTCATTAGTGAGCATATGATGATTATAATCAGAGAGGGGTTTTGTCGATATTATAGTAATTTTTGTTGGGAATCGCAAAACTATTTATACAGTAAACTCTTTGAAGACTCTTAAAAATAAAACATTTAAATTAATTTTAAAATGGTTAATCAGTTTTATACTAGATTATTCCTTCAATTCTTAAGGATGGAATTTTCGGAGATTGGATAATTTTAGCTCCAACTAGAATTGATCATCAAAGGTAAAGGAATAAATCCATTTTATCAATGAATATAACATTTGTTTCACTATTGAGGTTCGATTTTATATTATTCCATTTTACATATTTCGTCCAACTTAACTGTTCTAACTGGCTTGTGACTATCAATTTGTAATGGGTGATTTATAAAAATATAACTAATCTTGACTCATAAGGAAATTAAAACAAGCTATGGAAAAAATAACACTATCATGGTAGTGCTATGAACTTAACTGTCACAACCTGTATACCATGTAAGCTAAATACATTTCTTACTGAAATTCTATTAAATTCTAAATTAAGCCCAGACAATCTCTCTATTTTATGATATATTCATAGTATTATAATCAAATTAAATGCGAATTTAATAAATATTAGCATTTTTGTTGGATCGAATAAAAACTGCTTACTATTGTGGTGTTTGCTACTGATATCAACACATATGAGTAGTATGTATCGTCAATTGAAAGTGAAATACTTGGAAGAAGAAAGTTAAAAAGATCAAAGAAAATGTAACCAGAACAAAGAATAATTGGTGTGGAAATGAAAGAATAATGAAGTCTGAGACAAGTGATTGACATTTTGCAAATGAAGTATTTACTGTATGCCTAACAGATTTTACTAAGATGTTCTGTAACTCTATTCAAATACATTCGATTGTTCCCACTTGTGCTCTCATTCACTAGACTATGTTCATGATTACTGAGTTTTATTTATACAGTCAGTCACATTATTTACGTCAGTATAATCATTCCAAGAAAAAAAACATTTCCTGAGTACGGGAAGTAATAACCATATGGATATAAATCACAACAATTACTAATATTTGTGTCTCATGAAATTCTATTCAAATTTTATTGTAATCACCACTACTCTAACTGCATTATCTATGTTAGATGAAATTTCTCTTATAATCAACATTTAATATTTACTTGTTTATACTTATTCAAATGTAGTTACTACAATTTTTATTTTTTATTTTTAATTATCACTTATATCTCTTCCTATTTTAGTTTCTTATTAATACCAATATTATTGTTGGTACTAGTAGTAATAATAATAGTAATATTAGTGATTGTGATACTCAATGTTATTACTTTATTAGGCATAAAATTGAATAAACCTATTATGGCTAGTTCTGTTATGAAAATATTCACTATTAAATGGCTGCGGTAAATCAAAGAACAAAAAAACATCTTCATTAAGTTAGAGAATGCCGATCATTAGTTCAAAGGAAACCAGGAATCTCTACCCAACTAGTTAACTACATATATGTATATGTATGCATGAATGCACGCATGTGCGTGTGCATGTTTGTTTCAATAGGAATAGTAATACATACATGTTGATACTAAAACGACTGATGTTAATAGCATTAATATTATTATTATTACTAGTACCGTTATTATTATTATCATTATTATTATTACTGCCACAACGACGACGGCTACCACTATAAGTAGTATTTATTGTTAAAGCTTAAAACAAGTTCTAACTAACTAAAAGACAGTTATTCTTTCTTTCTCTGTTCCTCTTTGTCCTTTTAACTGTTGGCATTCAGTTATAACAAACATACACAAATAAATATATAGAGAAATACATTTCTATGTTCTGTCTTGCGCGTGCTCTTCTTTTTTTCCTGGTTTTATCTCACCTTGGCGCTTTTCTTGTTATTTATTGCGATACTTTGTGCCGATAAACTACTACATACCTAGTGAAATCATTTATATATATATATATATATACCAAAAACCATGTGACTAGCTTTAAAGAACTAAACCTTTAAGCTAATATTATCCTTTGTAAAAGTATATCAGAAGTAAGTTACCTCAAA